TGAGACCATCACAAGGCATCGAAGAGCAGACTAGTAGGGTACTTCACATCATTCCCGAACTGGCTAATGGTAACTTGTGTGAAGCTCAGAATGCTGTCCTAGAAAATGTTCCTCACTCACACCACATACCCGGAAATAGAAAATGGGTTAGTAATAATAATAATAATAATAATAATAATTTATTCTCAAATAACATGTTACAAGAGGCATGCCAATTTACAAGCAAGCTCAAAATGTTAAGATGACTAAAATATTTTTTGTAAAACGTCGTTCGGTTACTGAAATATTTCACAAGATACATTGGCTTCATATATGACTAAAATGTTTCACATAAAATTATAGATAATGTTCCTGACTCTGCAATGTACGATGCGAATAACTGGCGCGAGTTACAATAGTTGCGTTACGATGAGCTGCTTTTGACTGAAAAACGATGCAAGATAGAGCCAGGTCAGCATATAACAAGAATTGAGAACGACTTCACTGACTCACTCCTATCTTGACCCAGAAACAATCTTGAGAATAGAAAATTTCGTGCCAAGGTAAATAAAGTGCATGCGAGTTGGTGAGTCTCAACATCAAGGGTTTCAAAGGGGACCATCTTAGGTCCACTCCCCTTCCTAATTTGCATTATTGATCTTTTATACAAGGTTAGCTCAGAGGTATTGATCTACGCAGACGATGTAAAGATCTGGGGGTCCATTAGAAGCGAGGAAGATTCGACTGAGCTTCAAAAGGGCTTTACACCTTTTGAGGAATTGGCAGTGATAGACGGCGTAAAACTAAACCGTTCGAACTGTCACGTCATGTACATCCAGCTCCACATGAAACAAACTACCTACACCCTCAATCGAAATACTTCCGTTAAAGGATTCTCAGCGTGCGATCTCGGTTTAATAACCATACAAAGCCTCAACACCAGTTCGAACTATATATTGGACTCAGACAAGTTTATGCAATCCTTTACTTTATGCGAAGATGACTTGATGCTATTAACCCAAGATTATTCTTATCGTTGTTTAAGACATATACAAGCCCACATATTCAGGTGCACGTCGTCACATCCCCTCTGCCTAAAGAAGATATAAATCTCTCAGATCATGTGCAGAGTTGAGCAACGAAATGGGTGAGAGGGTTAAAAAACAAAACTTACTAAGATAGACTTTAGCACTTTAGATTATTAACTCCATCAGTAGAACCTTCTGGGCTACTGCCGGTCCCAAGCCCGAATAAAGGAGGAGGGTTGGGCATAGGGTCGGCGACCCCATCCCGTCAAAAACTAACTTTCCAAAAAGCGCTAACCAGAAAAAATAATTAAAACCATCTTAACTCTGCCCTTCTGACAGAGCAACCATTCTTTTAAGTACATAGAATGTTCGTACATTGTAGGAAACTCAAAGACTATTTCAAGTTGCTGTAGAAATGAAAAGATACAACCTAGAGGTGCTCGGCATCAGTGAAACGCATTGGACACAGGTAAGACAACTGAGACTAGTTTCAGGGGAACTGCTGTTATACTCTGGTCATGAAGAGGAAAATGCTTCACATACACAAGGAGTTGCACTGATGCTGTCCAAACATGCACAAAAGGCACTGATAGGATGAGAATCTCATGCACTCAGGATCATTCAAGCATCCTTCAAAACAAAGAAACAGGACATTACAATGAACGTCATCCAATGTTATACACCTACCAATGACTACAATGACCACGTTAAAGATCAATTCTACGAAAGGCTGCAGTCAATCGTCGAGAAATGTTCATCAAAGGATTTGACGATTCTTATGGGAGACCTGAATTCCAAGGTTGGAATGGACAACACTGGATATGAAGACATCATGGGACGACATGGACTGGGAGAAAGGAACAAAAACGGTGAGAGATTTGCAAACCTATGTGCCTTCAACAAACTGGTCATCGGGGGCACAATATTCCCTCACAAACGCATACACAAAGCTTCATGGATTTCACCGGACAACACTACTCAGAACCAAATTGACCACATATGTATTAACAAAACGTTCAGAAGCACCATGGTGAATGTGAGAACCAAGAGAACCAAGCTCTCTGGAAACCATCACAAACCAGAAAGACCAGTGAAAAACAAGGAAGGCAAAGTAATCAGCAGCACAATAGAACAACGAAATAGGTGGGTAGAGCACTTTAGGGAAATCTTGAATCGACCAGCTCCACTGAACACACCCGACATCAAAGCAGCATCCACGGAACTCCCGATTAATATTGGCGCACCTTCGATTGAAACTCCGCCAGTAGAACCTTAGGGGCTACTGCCAGTCCCAAGCCCGGATAAAGGAGAAGGGTTGGACATGGGGTTGGAGACCCCATTCTGTCGAAATCTAACTTGCCAAAAAAACGCTAAGCAGAAACCTATGATTGAGGAGATCAGTATGGCCACCAGACAAATCAAGAGAGGCAATGCAGCAGGACCAGACAACATTCCTGCAGAGGCAATGAAAGCAGATGTAGCAGCAACTGCGAAAATATTTCGCATCCTATTCGAGAAGATTTGGGATGAGGAACAAGTACCATCAGATTGGAAAGAAGGATACCTGATCAAAATACCAAAGAAAGGCGATCTCAGAAAGTGTGAGAACTACAGAGGCATCACTTTTCTCTCAATACCAGGCAAAGTCTTCAACAGGATATTGTTAAACAGAATGAAGGACTGAACACACCCAACATCGAAGCAGCATCCACGGAACTCCTGATTAATATTGGCGCACCTACGATTGAAAGGCGATCTTGGTAGATGCCCAATTTCGAGATCAACAGGTTGGATTTCGTAAGGATCGATCGTGTACTGACCAAATTGCTACATTACGGATCATTGTGGAACAATCAATTGAATGGAACTCACCACTCTACATCAACTTCATCGACTACGAGAAAGCATTCGATAGCGTGGATAGGAAAGCACTGTGGAGGCTTCTTCGACACTACGGTGTGCCTGAGAAAATAGTTAACATCATACGGAATCCTTATGATGGATTCAACTGCAAAATCGTACACGGAGGACAGCTAACAGACTCTTTCGAGGTGAAGACCGGTGTCAGGCAAGGTTGCTTACTCTCACCCTTTCTCTTTCTCCTGATCGACTGGATTATAAAGACGTCGACATCTGGATGGGAGCACGGTAGCAACTGGACAGTTAGGACGCAGCTGGACGATCTGGACTTCGCAGATGACCTGGCTCTTCTATCGCACACGCAACAACAAATGCAAAAGAAGACGATCAGTGTAGCAGCAGCCTCTGAAGCAGTAGGTCTCAACATACATAAAGGAAAAAGCGAAATTCTCCGATGCAACACAACATGCACCAACCAAATCACTCTTGATGGAGATGCTTTGAAGACTGCTAACACCTTTACATACCTGTGCAGCATCATCGATGAGAAAGGTGGATCCGATGCAGATGTGAGGGCACGGATCGGTTAAGCAAGGGCTGCATTCCTGCAAATGAAAAATATCTGGAACTCCAAACAACTTTCAACCAAAACCAAAATCAGGATTTTCAATACAAATGTGAAGACAGTTCCACTGTATGGAGCGGAAACTTGGAGAACTACTAAAGCCATCATCCAGAAGATACAAGTGATTATTAACATTTGTCTACGCAAAATACTTCGTATTCGTTGGCCAGACACGATCAGCAACAACCTACTGTGTGAGAGAACAAACTAGATCCCAGTGGAGGAGGAAATAAAGAAGAAGCGGTGGAAGTGGACAGGACACACTCTACGAAAAGCACCTAACTGAGTCACGAGACAAGCCCTCACATGGAATCCTCAAGGCGATAGGAAAAAAGGAAGGCCAAGGAACACATGACGCCGAGAAATAGAGAAAGATATAAAAGGAATGAACAAAAATTGGACAGAAGTGGAAAGGGAAGCCCAGGACAGAGTTGGTTGGAGAAAGCTGTTGGGCGCCCTATGTTCCACTGGGGGTAACAGGCGTAAGTAAGTACTTTGGATTATTCATTCTGAGATACAGGAGAATCAAAGGTGACCTGAAAATAGCAAACAACATATTAAGGACGCCAATTCATCCCAACGTGAGCATCTTACCGATGCAACACCACCATGCTCCTCGGGGTAGTCTTCAGGAAATTGCGTATCAAAGAGCAAACACCGAGGTTCGTGTACAATTCCCTCCCAGCTGAGGTGACCATAGCCCCATCAGTGGATAGCCCCAAGAAGAGATTTGATAAACACGTATTAACATACGGATTGTCATTTCCATGGTGGTCCAGCTGTGCCTGATCCATATCCTGAGACCTGCTAGTTGTTATTCCAGCCATCTCTTCAGATCAGTAACTAAACCTATCTCGTTTATTATCTCTGTTTCCTCTCCCCTGCTCACACTTCAGTCCTCTTGCACAATTTTAAGTGCCAGTTCATCAACAAAATTATCCATTTATTTACCTAGTTCTGAAATCTTTTTAATAGCATTAGACTTTTCTCCTTATTATTCTCACATTGCAACTAACAGATCTCCGGTCTGGTAATGTGATGGCTGATGGTATCTAGAAACCCTAGTGCCCTGAAACAAACATACTCTTTCAAATCACGGGATATACAAACTCACAACCGACTGCCAACTGACTAGAATTAGACACTACCAAACAACTGGAACCGTACCGAAAGAGCAGTAATCGACCATAAGAAAACTAATTGGTGAAAAGATAATGGATACTGAATAAGGAATTTTAAGAAAATGGTCATATTCTCTTATTTTAATGGTAGTCTTTCAGTAGGATATCCATTTCGCTTATTCTGATTTGGTTCAAGACATAGAAATCCTCAAAGCTTCACATGACGTTTCTTGTTTCTAGGATGTTGAGTAACCTGAATACACTTTTTCTATATTCAAGTAAAAGCATCATTAAAGAGAATCTTCGATGAATATAGTTCATGTTGGCGTTATTAGGCAGTTTAAGGAAGTTGGCTTCTTGAAAGGTGCTGTTTCGACCATGTGACTTGTAACGAATTTGCCGCGAACTTTGTGTTTTTCGCGTGGTCACCTGTAACGTTCTGTTCAGTATTGTGAAATCATAAGGTACAACGGTGCAAAATCAAGACAGGTCTAAAATTTTTCTTTCCAAATATTTTATTTTTTATTATCACCGGTGTTTTAGTATGTTCTTTCACATGTGGAAGATAGACAGCATATATATTAACATTTTTAACTATGCTGGATTTATTTACATGTGTGCTACACCTTGCCGATGCGTGATTGTAACAACTAGACATACGTGTAAGTAATATTAAGTCTCTGATAGTAAGGATAAGGCAATCAACCTACATTAATCTCTACAATTTATAGTACCGTGAAGGTACCATTACTCTTTGATGTATCAACAAAATGTGTTCATATTACGTATTAAGGACGAGAATCCCGTTAGTTCACTACTTAATGCGGGAAACAGGATATCTTGATATCAGTTGATCACTTATAGATTGGAGGTAAGGATAAGACGTTAACACCGGAATGGTCGTTCACCATATGATGAGCCTGTAATAAATAACGTCGTAACATTCGGTAAGATAACGCCAATAAGTTGAGCTGTCTCAGTATCCTCAGTAAGTAAAACTTGCAGCCGTTTTAGTCTCGCACCGTTAAAAGGATTAGATTGTGGCTGGTTTGGTTTCGTGTGCTTTTATAGGTATTAAAACTTCAGCTGACGTGGTTGAGATATGTGTTACAAATGCCCAACCACCGACTGCCTCGTTTGGCTATGTTTTGTGGTGTAAGGGTAGGCTAGAAGAGTGCTAGGTGTGGCCAAACCGAAACATGGCAGAAATCCACCAACTCACTGAGAAGTGGACTGAGTCATGTTGTTAGGTGTAGACTACGTGGCTGAGGTCCGCAAGATAGTAATCGATGGTTAGAGAACCGGAATGACATGGCTCGAAGCCGTTTGCAATGGCGCACGTGCATTCTTTCTTTGTGTTCTCTCCAAACCTAACTTTATGCCTTTTGCATCACTTTACCTTTTTCTTTTTAAGTTTATTTCACTAGACTTTACTTCTTGAATAATATTCTCAAACCGTAATATCTCTGATTACTGTTAATACTTCTGCTACCACTACTATTATTGGATCTGAAGTGACAGTTGTATTTCTTTGCTAATGTGGTATGGCGACTTGACCTGATGTGCGTACGTAAGAAGTCATATGTTGTTGTTGTTGACTGACTGACTGACTGACTGACCAAATCCTGCATTCTAAATGTGGCCTCACAAACGTCGTGTGTAGTATCCTGAACATTCCATCCGACTAATAAAATAACCTAAGTATAGTCTATGTGGCCCTGAAGCCTTTGTTGGCGGTAGCCGTACAATTGTTCGTAGCTTTAATCTTATTATTATTATTCGACTCGTAGATCTTCATAATCTACTTTAGGTAGCACCATTTCACTTACAGTGTTGTTGCAAGAGTCGTTGCAGTTATATGCATCAATACACTTTTACTAAAATCCAATTCCGATTACTTCTTGTACATCCATTCAGCCAGTGAATTTAGGTTTGCCTATAATATTATCCTATCTGAAATACACTGTGTAGGTGTCCAGATATTGATGTTATGGAATAGAACGGGTTACCTTTATAATGTTGGCAAATCATTTACATAATGTAAAAAAAGAAGAGGCCCAAGGATTTTACTTTTAGGAACTCCACTATGTACAGATACTCATTTTGATAAAGCCCCATCCACCCTTACTGGTCTCTTATGTCTGAGAAAGTCACTTATCCAATTTCTGTTTGCACAATGGATTCCAGAACTTTCCATTTTTAATTTTAGACCTAGGTGAAGGATCTTATTAAAGGCTCTACAATAAAATTCGATCTATGAAAATTGTATCTGGAGTATTATTATCTTTCACTGAAGTCCAATCTCTTGCAAACGGGAGTTTTCAAGTGTAAAAGGCCTTTATAACTATGTTTTTGTCTGGATTCTCTGAGTTCGTCTGTATGCACATGAACAACCTTTTGGGACTTTCTATAATAACTATACAATTGTTTCTGTTAATAAAGTCTAACCCCATCAGCGCTTTGCGCGTGTTCCCAGTCTTATAATAAGAGGATTTATACTGTTCAGAACCCATAGAAACAAACATATTCTAATACATTTTCGTGTTTCTAAGAAGCTTTTTGACCTCTCCAGTTACCCATAGCCGGCAGTTATTTGGTCTACGTGGTACCAAGCACAGTATAAACAGAGATGTAACTGGGTTAAATGTACCTTTAAATATGGACCATTTCTCCGACTGGTAAGCTAGTATGTACTAACAAGCTCGTCTCAGCACACTCCTGTATAACTGCTGTTGCTAGTTCGAAACTAACTATATACTATGTCACATGCCTTGAACATGAGTAGCAAAGCAGCATGAGCTAGCAGTGAGAGAATATTTGGACAGGCAATATTCTCGGGCGCATGAGTGGTTGCTAAGTCTAATAAAGAAGATCCTTTGTTCGGACCAAAGCATGTGGGCTCGGGTGCATTCTTTAATAAGTATGTTCTATTTATGTAATCAGAAGCCTACTATCAAAAGAATTTCCTGATCTTACGGTCGATATCTCTGTCCAGTTGATATCAAGTTCATTAAAATCTCATAAGGCATTTGTTATTCCTAATCCATAGCAGTATGTTCCCCTGAGTAAAATCATCGACCTGGCAGTTTGGGCTCCGATAAATGTCACTGAGTATAAATGTACAACCTGTAAAGTGAGTTCACAGCTAGTGACTTCACAAGTACCATTATCATGAGATTCACAAACAAAAGGGCATATATTTTTATCATCAATTTTGTATGCGGCGACCTTACTCCGTTTCCTGCATCTATTCATATCACTTCGGTAGTTGTACGCCGATAATTCTGGAGTTGTATTTAACTCATACCCTAACCAAATCTCGGTCACTGTTACGATAAGTGGCTTTAATTCATCCACTGATATCTGTATTTCCTAGACTATCATTCGTAAATATCTGAGGCCATTCTGTAAATGATTTCAGGTTGTGAACAGCTAGCGATAACCAACTGAAATAAAATGAATTCATGCCATTGTTTCTAAATCTTTGTCCTTGTACCGTTCAAAATTCCATATTTAGTAGTGCCACGTGTAAGTATATTATTTCGTTCTCCACAATAGTTTTTAAGCCATTACCAACCACCATTCGAAAATATCATGGAGATTCTTCTATCATATATTGCGTATGCTCTGAATTACGTCTACTCATTCCTCAGGAGGTTTTTAGTTTATCCAAACCAGACGGGTTAGATTTTGCAAAAGTAGTCGAGCCATTTGTTTATTACTTATCAACGTGAAATCCACGTTTCTGCCTGATATTTTTGTCAGAAGTGATGGAGTGGATGAGATGTGGTATTTGAGTTATTGGAACATGTGTTTTGTCATAAATTATTAAAAAGTTCCCATAAAATCATCACCCCAGTTGAATTTTTTTATAGAGGTTCATTTATTATTCGGCAGCTATATGATTTCTATTTATGTGCACGTTCGACTGCACGACCAGTTGTAGATATGTGTGTGGCTTCACAGACAGTTTGATTGGTAATTACTGCAGTTAGAGCATTAATGTACCGCGATTAACAAGTTTGGTCACATAACCGACATTATTTTAAGAGAATAACTATTTTTGTCAGGGAAATGTAGGTAAATCTAGCGATCTGCATTAAAATATGCATTAAACGATACATTCAGTAGTAATAATCTTTAGAACCGAATACCTCCAATGATTCTACAAACTCCGATGCCAAATCCTCGTTCTCGTCACTAGCATAGTTTGTTAAACTATTCTATTAGTGTTTCACCTAACGCTTATTTCACAGCTATGCATACTATTTGACTGATCTCATTCCTTTTCACAGTACTTGACACCTAAGACAGGTTATTAGCGATGTTCGCACAAGGCTTAAATAGAATTTACATCACGTACTCAGTCAGTCAGTTGCAACGTAGAACTTCGTACGTATGTACATAAGTTCATGTTGCCATACCACATTATTAGCACAGAGACGCAAATGTCAAATCAAATCCCATGGTGATAAAGATGGTAGAGGTATTAATGTTATAATAAAGAAGACTAGGGTTTAAGATATTATTCAAAAAATATAATTCAGTGAGATAAGGTTAGAAAGACAAAGGTAGAGGTGCTGGCTAATCCAGAAGATTAGGATTTGAGAGAGCTCAAAGAGTGGATGCACTTGCGCCATTGCAAACGATTTTGAGCCATGTCGTTCAAGGTCTCTAACCATTGATGACTTTCGTCTCGCGGACCCCAACCAGGTAGTCTACATCTACCAACATGACTCAGTCCACTTGTCAGGGACTTCATGGATTTCTGCCATGTTTTGGTCTGGCCGCCCCTAGCTTTTTTCCAACCTACTCCTACACCACAAAACATAGCTCGTCGGGTC